AAACTAGAAGAGTTAGTGAGTTCAGTGAATCCATTGCCTTTGTCACTGACTCACAGTGGCACTTTTGAACATAATCCTACTTCATCCATTGCACTATCATTTTATTCTGTGTAATGACTTTGATAGCCTTCATCTCTGCCAGGCCACATTGGTGTCCTATTTTTGGTTTCTAAGATTTCAGCTTCAGTTTACATTTACCAGTTCACATTTTCCTCCCTTTGGGGTACTAAGGGATTCGGATTTGAAAAGACATTGACCAATTATTGTGATGGAACCTAAATTGAGCCTTGTTCTCTAACACAAATTGCCTTTCCCTCGTAGTGAGTTACCACATGAGAAATTCTTACCAGGTGAAATTGACCAGTGACCCTGGCAGTCTTTTCTAAACTTAAAAATCTGGCTGAAAATACATTCCTTTCATCTCAGCTCAGTGCTTTCTCAGAATTTCTGGAGGCTTTTTACAGTAATTGTCTCTCTGACCTCATCTCATACTGACCATACAATAAAGATGGGAAGTTCCTGTTAAGGCATAGAAAACAAGCAAAAAAGAAAGAAAGAAAATGAAAACTGCTGTTTTACTACTTGCCAAGCATGTATTTCTTGTACCCCTGATAATTAATAACTACTTTAAGATTATTTGTTTTATCTGCAGACATGGATGCACTTTAAACTTTTTATTTCAACAGCACTTCATTACATATGTTGAGTTCTACCACAGCCTAGACCCTGTTTCTGGGTACTATATTCTGCTCCACTGATCTGTAACTTTATATTGTATTTTAATACTTAGTAATGTTTAAATTATGTAAATTTTTGTGTGAATTAATCTAAAACACTCTTCTTTCCTTTTCATTAGGTAAGCCTGGAAAATATTCAGTGAATGTTCCTATGCTTTTAAATGATAATCCCGTTTTTTATAGAACATTACACCTTTTTGGAGAGGTAAAATCACCCAACTTACTGTTTGATCCACCATTTGTTTATTTTGCTCCTGTTCCTTTGGATGTAACAACTGAAATAGAAATCAACATTTTACCTCAAAATTTTTTCAGGTAAATATTAATATGAATTTGCCACATTTTTCTTATGTGCTTTTTTCTGTTATGTTTGTGCTTGTGTTATATGAGTCATGACTAATGTCTGACTAGTTTCTGTAGTTAGGAAGAGCTATTAAGATATTTGATGATATTTACATACTTTTTTTTAAAGTCACTTAGATTTAATCTCACAATCAGACATTAAATATTCTTATAAAATTTTGGTATGGCTGTCTTCATTGCATAAAACTCAAACTTAAGAATGCAATGTATTATTTTTCTATTGCTGTGTGACACATTACTATAAATGGTGCAGCTTAAAACAACATGAATTTGTTGTCTCACAGTTTCTGTGAGTCAGAAATCCTGATTTGATTAACTGTGTTCTTGCTCAGGCTCTAAATGGGCAGAAATCAAGGCATTGGCTCAACCATGATGAATACCCAATTCATCATATGGGTTTAACTACAATAAAACAAGTGGAAATTTTTATTTACTTTTTTTCTATTTAATTAGCTGAATAATTTTCATTCAGATTTAGTACTAAGAAAATATGATTTCCTTTTTATAATGCATTTTTTTTTTGGTATGAGGGAGTACATATATAATTCATAATCCAAATTAAATATTGAGCAATAAAGAATTATCAGTAATAATTAGATTTAAAATTAAACACTGCATATTACATTATTAAAATCAGAAATATGTTAAGGAGCTCAGGTGGCATAGTGCCTAAAGCATTTGACTGCTAACCAGAAGGTTGTTGGTTCAAACCCACCAGCCACTCTGTGGAAGAAAGACTGGGCAATCTACTTCCATAAAGATTTATAGCCTCAGAAACCCAAAGGGGTTCACTATGAGTCTGAATCGAGTCATATTTTTAAAAGTAATGATTAAAAAACTATCCATGGTAGGATTTATGTATATAAGTGCTTATACAGTATCCACATTTTTTAAAATTTAAAGTATATATGTATCTGTTGCTATTATTTAGCCTACATACATTAAAGTTTTATCTATTAAAGCTTCAATTTTGGGGTACATTCTTGTCAGAGAAGGAGCTCTGGTAGCATAGTGCCTAAGACATGTGACTGCTAACCAGAAGGCTGGCAGTTCAAACCCACCAGCTGCTGCGGAAGGAAGATAAGACAATGTATTTCCGTAAACATTTACTGCTCTGGTAGCATAGTGCCTAAGGCACTGGACTGCTAACCAGAAGGCTGGTGGTTCAAACCCACCAGCCACTCCTCAGAAGGAAGGTTGGACATTCCTACTTCTGTAGTGATACTGCCTCGGAAACCCAAGGAGGGGTCGCTATGAGTCGGGGCCGACTCGATGGCAAGTAACAACAACAACTTACTGCCTTGGAAACCCAATGGGGGTCGCTATGAGATGGAATTGATGGTAGTAGGTTTGCTTTGGTTTTGATCTTCTTGTCAGAATATATTTGAAGAGAATGATATTTCAATCATGGTTGAGATTAAAAACACAATGCATTAGGCCAAGTATTTTATCTCTCTTCTTTTATTCTTAAAAAACAGAAGGGACTTTGGATCATCTTATGTGGTTCTTGATCAAATTAATATATTGTCAGTCTTAGTTATATTGTGATAAAAAAAATAAGAGATGACATAAAAATCTTTAATAATTGGGAATAATATTATCATTATTTTATTATATTTTTTAGTTGTTCTGATTTAAAAAAGGAACACACATTTAAATCCACTTAATTGCAGGTATTTTGAGCTATAAACTCCTCTTTTTTATATTTGAAACAGCGATACAACTCTAAATGTCAAGCTTCCTAAGAGTAAGGAGATTATTCCCCTTTCTGTGAAGTTTCCAAAGGGCAAAATAATCACAAGTGCTTTGCGTGGAATTAATACAAAGCTTGTCTGCCATCTCAGCTTTAAATCATCCATACCTGTGTCCTTTACTACCAATGTTCTTTTTGGTGATGAAAGCAATAACTGGTAAGATATTTATATGTAGATTCTTTTGGATCTAACAATGAAGAGCAATGGGTTTATATTCTATGCCATTGTAACATGTTAAGAGAAATAAAATAAGATTTTGGGCATAAAGATTTTCTTAAAAATGCAAAATGTATCTTTGCTCATATGGAACACAGCAAAATAGTGGTGATCAACATATTCTCTGGAGCTAGGTTGCCTTGGTTCAAATGTTGACTCTGTTAACTTTGGAACAATAACAAAACCTTCCATGGTTATGAGAAATTGAGTTAATAATTACTGATATGACCTAGCACTTTTCAGTTGCCATCATGTTGACTTCAACTCCTCATTTCCCCTTATGTGTCAGGGGAGAACTGTGCTCTGTAGGGTTTTCTGTGGCTGATGTTTTTGGACGTAGATCGCTAGGCCTTTTTCCTATGTGCCTCTGGGTGGACTCGCTTGCAACCTATTGGTTAGTGGCCAAGCGTGTTAACCTTTTGACCACACATGGACTCTGCCTAGCACATTGCTATTGCTGTTAATTGCACTGGAGATGATTCAGACTCACAGTGATCCACGTGTTATAAAGGCTATAGGGTTTTTTGGCTATAATCTTAATTGAAGCAATTCACCAGGCCTATTTTCTGTGGTACCAGTGAGTGGGTTCAGACCCACACCCTTTAAGTTACAAACCATTTGTACCATTTAGGGACCTTTACTTGCCATTCAGGCAGTTGCAATGTATAATGATCCTGTAGGACAGAGCGAGGTCATTGGGTACCAGGCATAAGCTCAGGAATACAAACAACTCCCTTGCACTTCAGACCTGCTAGACCCTGTCTCTTCTTTTAGCCAAATGAAGTAATACTAAGTTATTTGACTTAGAGGAAAAATAAAAAAAGGTTGGTTCATTCAAATTGAAATGCAGTTGTTGTTCAGATGTAAACAGGTTCTTCCTTCTAGAGCAGAGGTTCTCAAATTTTGTTGGACATTGAAATCGACTGGATGGCAGTGAGTTTGGTTTTTTGGTTTTTGTACCACCCAGAAACTCTGATATAATTAATTGGTCCAGAGAGTGACCTGGGCATTGAAATGTTTGGATGTTCCCTAAGTGATTTTAATGGGAAGCCAAACATGAAAATACTTGCTCTCAAACTTTAACCTGCATATGACTCACCTGGAGGGGTTCTTAAAATACAAAGTCTGAGTCCCACTCTGGTGTAAGTCCTGACATTTTGAATTTTTAACAAGTTCCCATTTGATGTTAAGAGTGCTCTCTGGGGCCAGATGTTGAGTTTGTTTGAAATATAGAATTCCAAGTTCCAGTCTAGACTTAAAGAATCAGCATCTTTCTTTTAGAAAGATCTCCAGGTGATTCATATGCACAGTAAAGCTTCAAAGCAAAGGGCTTAGGAAGACTGAACAAGAGAAAATGTCATCCAAAGAGATTAAATCCTGGTTTAAAACTTGGCAAGAAATAAGGTTACCACTACTAAATGATGTTGATGTGGGAATATTTAAACTAGACACCCATATTCCTGACCTTGGGATAGTTTTTATTTATGCTGCTAATAATTCTCTGTTTGTATGCATGCTAAGGAAATACAAAAACACACTTTATCTTTCCATCAAGACTCCATTGAACAGTGTATATTCTCCAAATTGCAGCAGGGAATAAGAAACACAACTAGGTTATTTACCTTTTTTACATTCAACCAATTTGTCATAGAAAGAAGCAAGATTTGAGATCAAGTCTCATTACTTCTAGTACATAATTTTGCCTCATTTTTTTGCTTTAACAAATTTTATTTTAGAAGAAAATTAGTTTTACAGAAGAGTTGTGAAAATAGTACAGAGTGATCCCATGTACCCAGAATCTTCTTTCCCCTATTGTTAGCATCCTACATTAATGTTACACATTTCACATATACATGTGTATGCGTAATATATATGTTTATGTATATAATTTTTCCAAACAACATTTTTAGGAAGTGGTAAATTTTACTTTTGTTACAATTCCTTTGTAGAAGTCACATGTTAAACTGTATTAAGAATAAAGTTGTGATATATTCCCATAGGATTACTGTATTAAAAGTAAAACATTATATATGATTTTATGTACATACATCAGTGCTATGGATTATTAATATTAATTAAATTATATTAATAAATTTGAAATAAAATATATAAATTAATTTGATTACCTTATTTAGAATGTGTATGCATATGTGTGTATACACGCACACACACATATATGTACATCTCAGTTGTGATGATTTAAATTTGTGGAAAGGGCTCTGAAGAAAGACTTTCAGATTTAAAAATGACTCATAAATTGCAACATTATTTAAAGATTCTTGAATATGCTACAAATGAGATGACTCACATGTCAAAAATTTATATATATTTGAAGTATTGCTAAATGGACATATGTTTCTATTCTTGATGAATATTTCAGTGCTCATTGTGCTATGGTGCAAATTAATGGAAGAAATTCACATACGTAACATGCTTCTATGCACATAGGCTCATTTAGATCAAACCTAGAATATATGTCAGGGCACTAATTTAGTTAATTAGCATGTAGTTACTAGGATTATTAATGTTCATAAATAAGAGTGACTTTATGGGCTAAAAACTTATGTTGTGGACTATTGCAATGCCCAGAACAGTACTTGTAATTGAAATCCATTCTTTCCTACTCAAGAAAGGATGTTGAAAGGCAAATGAGGAAGAGTTATCTTGTGATCATTAATCTTTTGAGTCTGTTTTGATGTATTTAAAAATAAATAAATCTACACTCTGGAACTTTATCACTGCTGACTTATAGTGCCCTCATTTGTGAAAGAGACATTCTTGTGTGTTCCAACATAATGGATGAGCTCAACTGCTATGAATACATATTACAGCAGCAGAATTAAAATTCATTTGTTTGATAGATTTACCTAATATCACTGTATTAGCCATGGGAAACATTAACTATTTAAATAAAAATATTAAATAATGCTTTTGTGTGTGTGTAAGTAAAGTTACATGTGAATAATTTTGCTACCAGTTATTGAATTGAGAAATCTTTTGGGTGATGTGTCTAAGCTGCTTTAGAAAGGTTGCTCAAGGAAGTCTGTGGTGTACACATTCCTCTAAAGCAAGTACTGTTGTTCAAATTTATTCCATTGTTATTGCCTTTACTTAAATATCAGATGGATTGTAATAAGTATTTTTTTTTGGATATTGATACTGGTTTTCATAATGAAAAGCATTTTCAAAGGAAAGATCCAGCATCTTTTATTCTCCTCTTATTTCTCAAGTTTATTCAGCCCTACAAATGGAAATATAAAGCATTAATCAAAAAGTTTTAGCAGCAAATTATTCTTGTAGCCTTTCATATTGTTGTTATCATTGGTTACTGTTGAATTGATTCCGAATCATGGTGACTGCATATGTGCAGAGCAGGACTGCTCCATAGGATTTTCAAGGCTGTGACCAATTGGAAGCAAAACGGAAGACACCAGGCCTGTCTTCCAAGGCGCCTCTGGATGGGTTTGAACTGCCAACCCTTCGGCTAGTAGTCAAGCACTTACCATTGGCAGCTTTGCCAAAATATAATTTTGATCTGACTTTCTTGTGAAGAAGGTTCTTTGTTGGCACAGACAGGTTGCACTCAACTACTAACTGGAAGAAAGACCTGGCAATCTGCTTCTCTAAAGAGTACAGACAAGAAAACTCCCTGGAGTAGTTCTACTCCATAATGCATGAGGTTGCCATGAGTTGGAATTGACATAATAGCCATGCGTTGGTTTGTTTTTCGGTTGGTTTTTGTCTTGTGAAGGATAGTTTGGACAGACAACCATATTATGTCTAGAGAGACTTGTTACTAGAAACCACACCCCAGAGCTCTGCCCCTTCTCCTTCCTCTTGCTCTGTCCCTTTATCTGTAAATTAAAATCATATTCAATCAAGCTGCTTTTATCATGCAAGGTCTATCTTTAAATACTACAGATAGGAGCAGAACTTTAGTTTAAGAACACAAATATATAAATAATACAATATTTCTCGTGGTGCTTGACATATTGTTGGCAGGCCATCACAGTACTTCATATACCAGTAGAAAGTGATAACATACTCTAATTACCAGGTCATTTATCACAGATATTTAACATGAAGCTTCAAAGTTTCATCACTAAAATGATTTGGGCAGGCAAGCATAAGAGTCTCTTATCTACACTAATGATGTAGAAAGAGAAATGTGTGATTAAGGCGTTAATTATTCAGTAGCTAATGACCAGAGAGATGAAGGATGAGTCTTTCCACACTTTATTTAATGGATTATTTGTGGTTGTCATGTCATTCAGATTCCAAGTTGTGGTTCATGAAAAATATATTTTATATTTTATTGGTTATTCTCTGCTATAGATCAAGGAAAAATATACTTTTCTTTTTTGATCTTGATTTTTTGTTGGTTTTACCTTATCTAGAGTGCAGTAGCTTCCTTCTTAGGATTAAGTAGTATGGAAAACAGTCAAATAAGATTAAGGCGGTAATGGCTGCTTGGGCCATTACAGAGAGAGGTTTATGATGTGTGTGTGTGTTCATCAGATTGAAGGAGACAAATATATTAGGTCAAACCTTGTAAACTGCCCATACAATAGGCAAAAAAAAGTTGAATCGTGGTAATTTAATATGTTCAACCTAATATTCAGAGGTTCTTATGATACCTACAGACATTTTGATTGATTCTGGTTTTTGGCTATTATGAATAATGTTGCTATGTCCGTTTGTCTTTTTGTGGGCACGTGTTTTCATTTCTCTTGAGTAGATACCTAGGTCTGAAATTCCAGAGTCATATAATAAGTCCATTAATATTTTGAGAAACTGGTAAACATTTTCCAAAGTGACTAGACCTTTCTACATTCCTAGCAGTAATGAATAAAGGTTCCAGCTTCTTTACATCTTCACAAACACTTCTTATTGTCTGACTTCTTTTATTACAGCCATTGGAATGAATGTGAGGTGATATCTTATTGTGTTTTTGATTTGTATTTCCCTAATGACTGATGGTGTTGAGCATCATTTCATGTTCTTTGTATATTCTACATTGTTGTTGTTGTTGTTGTTACATGCTGTCGAGTCGGACCTGACTCCTAGCGACCCCTCCTTGGTTCCTGAGGTGGTATCACTATGGAAGTAGATTGCCCAATCTTCCTTCCAAGGAGTGGCTGGTGGGTTTGAACCGCCAGCCTTCTGGTTAGCAGTCAAGTGCCCTAGGCACTATGCTACCATGTGAGTAATTTATCATGAAAATGAATTCCAAATATTATGTCCTAATCTGTGGGTAGTCTTTTTATTTTATTGATGGCATCATTGGGAGTACAAAATACTTCAAATTTAGTGAAGTTGAAATTATCTTGATTTCTTTCTTTCAGTGTTTATGCTCTTGGGGTCAATATAAGAAATCATTGCCTAACTCCTATGTTTTCTTCTAAGAGACATGTTTCTTCCTAAGAGCCTGAGAGAATATGTATAGCTTCCAAAAAACAAAAACAAAAACAGCTTTTAATTCAAACTAGTTTCTAATAGTATGTTATATAATTGAACATTATCAGAACATGCACACATCATTAAAATATATGTTGCTTATTTAGATAATTGAGAAGTTAGTGAAAAAATTTGTAAATGTTAAATTCATCATCATCTTCATGGTTTTATCTAGTGTTCCTAAGTTTGAGCTTTTATGCAGCAAGGCAAATCTGAAAATTAAACTTTCCTATATAGTGACTGTAGTGACTGAAAACAAAGCTCTGTTTCAGACAGATTGAACTTAAACTTGGCCTCAGTAATTTTTAATTGTGTGACTTGAAATAATCATTTGCTTTTACAGAATCTTGGTATCATAACCAAGGCTGGAAAAGATAATAATGTAGATTCTTTAAGACTCTTGGGAGGATTTATAGAAATTAAATAGCATGTGTTAAGTGTTGAGCATAGTACTTGGCACAAATATTATACACCCATTATTGTCACCTTCCTCAACATCCCCATCATATCATTATCCCTGTTGTCACCAAGAATGTCCAGCACAACCAGTATAAATCATTAATGCCTGACAGTTAGTATTTAAATCCCAAAGTAGAACTGAAATCCCTAGTGGTAGAGTGGATTTTTACTGGACTCTCACTCTTATACTTTGTATTTTTGGAGTATATCCCCTACTGCTAATTTTTCTGGCCTTTATAGACCTGGCATGGGAAATTCATACCCATGAATCCTGATCTAAAGGTCTGCTTGTAGACAGTGCTACCTAATGAACAAATGTTAGAAGCATGTGTTTCTGACAAGGTACCATAAATGGACCCATTCAAAGAGGATTAGTATTACCAACTGCAAGTCCCTTTTTGGTTTTAAAGTATTTTTTAATAATAATGATATAAATATATGAAATGTCTATATAACTTGTACAATATCTGTATCATGTGCTTCACAGAACTAAGTCAAG